GGAGTAGCAACCAAACTAGGTGAGTAAATAACCGTAGAATGATAGTGCATATATCTTACCTCATATGTAGCGGACACTCCAGCGCTCGGGGCCGGCCCAGGGAGCGTAGCAGCTCTAACAACCGGGATGCAGCACCAACCGCCGACTCACGAAGCAGACGCCAGCGTCGACGTGACTCACACTCCGCAAGCCGAAGCCGGTCTCGATCTCCACCTAGACGCAGGCGGCGTCGCAATGTGTCCAATAGCCGCAGTCGATCTCAATCACCAGCCCGGCGGCGTCATCGACACACATCGTCATCCCCAACACCGGTTATTCTTGAAAAGCTGACAGCTATCGGCAAGAGACTCGATGATATCGAGGCAAGCCGAGCGACAGGAGGGCAAGAGGGTCAGGGTGGTGGACGTGGCAAACATGGCGGGAGTTCTACTGGACGTGAAGTACGAGGTGGACGAGGTGGGAGACGAAGGGGCCGGCTGTCAGGAGCTGCATTACAAGGAACAATGACAGGGGAAGAGCAACGCACCGGTTGTTATGATGCGGACGCCGAGGACGTCACTCTGCCTGCCAAAAAGTTGAAGACACCTACAAGGACCGCTCGGAACGAGTTACTTGTGAGTCTATATCAAGCTGATGATGAGTTACTGAAAAACACGTACGATAGCAACATCTCAATGGCGCATTTAAGCTATTATGTGGGGTTCATGGTGACGAGAGGTGGCCGACTGATCCCAATGAGGAGCGTAAAAATCCCAGGGCACCAGACGAGGTGTACCTGAACCCGGTTTTTGCTTCACCGGTTAACGACCCGCGAAACATCAAGGTGCGGCGAGCTGTCACTGACCATGTGTGGTCAGAGTTAAAGGTTAGTGCATATAGCCACTCGTACACTGATGCCTGACTCACTGCTATAGACCCCTGGCAATCTTGGCGAGAAGCTGACCAATCGAGCTGTCAAATGGAACAAAGAGAGCCTCTTCGTGTTGTCAAAGACAACATTCACAAGCTTGAAGGAGGTTTGGCAGGTGCAAAACGATTCTGGACGCGAAGCTGCCAAGGCAAGAGATGACAGGGAGCTACGACGATACCAGCGAAGAAAAGCAGTGAGTATCTATATCATGAATCAATGCAGGGACTCACCAGCCTACAGAAAGCTAGTCGGCTGCTCAGAGTGATAGATGAGTACAAGGAGGAGCATGATGGAAATGATCCCACCGAGATGATCATTGCTGACTTGATGTCGGATGAAGAGTCGGGCCCCGAGGAGGGATCAGATAAGACGCTGGAGGAGTGGAAGGTGATGATGGCGAGGGGAAAGGGAGTCAATCCACGTGGGGATGCGTTCAGGACTGCAACGTTCCACGAGGTGTTGAGATGTCCCTGGCGCTCGGAGCTTGTGAGCGAGAGAGCGGCGTGATTGATACATGACTTACGGTTGATTACAGCTCGAGACGATCCTCGCTTGGCTGCGAGCCAAGTGGTGGGAACTGCTGGACGTTAAGAAGAGGAAGCGGTTCACCACACACATGGTCCGAACCGACCGCATGACTTCTCAGATCCCAACTGAAGCACCCTGGGACTGTTGTATTAACGCGGAATGGCATGCAGAGAATGTCAACCAACCTGAGTACGAGGTCTACAAGCTGGGGGACTGGTACAGGTATGGCGACCCACCTGCGTTCAAAGCGCCAGGTCCTCCGCAAGAATTAGCACAGACCACTTCAAGCGGAGGAAATGGACAGCCTGGGCCAAGCAGGGGTGACGAGAGCATGGAGGCAAGGCCAAGCGAGAGTGGTGAGGTTGGACAGATTGGGCCAAGCGAGGGTGGTGAAGGTGCGCAACAGAGTGGGAGCGTCCAGGGCGGTGGACGTGAGGAATTGGGCAGTCGGGTTGATGGACCATTGGGCAGGTGGGGCATCCAGCAGTGAAAGAGATGAGTGAGGTGTGTAATGAATGAGCGTCACTTCTTGGTCAGCGATTGCTATAGGTATAAAGCTAAAATAACTTACGTGCCTGAGGGTACTAGTCGGTCTTCTTGCTACAGACTCGGGTGCTAAAGATCAGATGTAATCATATAGTCAGCATGTGAAAAGAAAACAGTGTATCTCTGACTCACCCGTTCGAGACTTGTCGTAATCCACAATGGTGGCTCTGTCGTCTCGATAACTGCGCGAGCAACTTGGCACTGAACATAGTCAAAGGGGAGAAAACGAGGGAGTGTGCTGGTGTCAGGGTGGTATGTATTGAATTCAAAACACTTGACGTCAAGCTCGGGGCTGTACATATCATGGGACACTTCTTCCAAGTAATAGAAAGGGGAAGAGAACACGTACTAGTCGAGCCATGGGTCCCCATCAACAGGAGTCAAGTCTGACTCCTTCATCCAGGCAAACTCAGCGAACAGGCGATGACACATCTCATGTGGGACTCCAATTTGCTCATGTGAAAAGATCCTGAGCACCTCACCATAAACAGAGCCAATATCCTCCAGGGTCACCTTCACGAGGGCCGAACTTGCAGACTCACGGCGACTTGATGATCTTGGAATGACTCGCCGACCATCAAGCAGCACGTGCTGATAAAAAAGGGCGTAGTCAGCCAAAGGAATTGCGCCTGAAGCAGCGTTGGTCTGGAGAGTTAAGCGAAATGTAACCGTGGTGTGAGCACTCCTGGCAGCGCTGTTATAATAGTTGCGCATGTAGACTCGCGCCTGGTCGCTCATCCGTACTCGAGTAGAGCTGACAAGCGGACCGGGCTGTATACGGTTATGACTTGAGAGCTCTGACACAATGCTTGTCACAGACATACAGCAAGGACAGTTGGGCACTCACCGTCAGATACAAGTGCATCTTGCAGAGTCCCGCCCTCTGTGCTCTGGCGGAGTAAAAGTGCCATGACATCTTTGACATGTTCATTCGGGCTGCATTGGGCCATACCACGAGCCTGCTGCACTTGAAAGAGGTAAGATAGAGAAGAATCAGAATACGCACCAGTGAGTCAATGCGGGAAGCTCTCGAAAACTCTCGCATCATTGAGATCTCCACCTGACCCCCAGTCCAGTTATTAACATTGAAGCTTTTGAGTACCTTGTTGAGCCGCTCCGAAAGAAAGGCCCAGAAATTATAAACGGGGCCAAAGTCGCGAATTTGGTCTGAAAGATGGACTGCCCAATGAAAGTTGGGCTTGAGCGCGTCGGTGCCATACAACTAGAATGACATTTAGATGTAATATGTCAAGGATGAACAAGGCCTCACTGTTCTGTAGCCAAAGAGATAGTCTCGAAGGAGCTCGTCAGCACGGGGAAGGTTGTCAATGCGGACTGAACTGCTGCAGAAGAGCTTCAGTGCACAAGAAAGTCGGAGAAAGTTGGCTGGTTCATCAGCCTGCATCCGTAGCCTTGGAGCCTGGGGTTTACTAGGTTCGCTCTTACCCTTCCTCTGCCGCTTGCCAGTGGTGCTTGATCCCGCTGGGTTTTCCGCTTTCCACATCGCTAGCTCTTTCTCATACTTATCAAGCCGGGCGGGATAAGAATTGAGTGATGTTTGATGCTCGGCACGAGCTTCGTCCAGTGAGAGGTCCCAGAGGATTGGAATCTTGATCGACGTCAATGTAGCACGTTCCACCTGCACCAATAACAAGGCGCTCACCATAATGGGCCATGCTACTGTTGTGGCAAACTTGTATTCATCTGCAGTCAGAGAGCCGCCAGCAGGTTCACCCACACGCGGCGGCAGCTTCCCAGTCCATGAGGGCACCTCAAACTTAGATATGTCAGCATAGATACAGTAGAGCATGCCGGGTGTGACTAACCTTTGCAAGAAACTTGTGAAGAATGTCTAGCTCTCGAGTTTGTGTGGTGGTTGATGCTCGGAGCGTTGATGTTTTTATCCACCGATCATACCATTGCGTTTTTACGATGCCTAGCGTAGAGTATGAATTGTCAGCATTCACGTGCGGAAAGAGACTCAACAGCAGGAAAATACCAAGAATCAAGTTATGCATAGGGTCTATGATAGACTGGCGCACAAGATCAAAATACGGGAGACGCGCAAGTTCAGTCCATCGAACACCATGCCGTTCAAAAAATTCACGCCGCTCGGTCTCATTGTTGATGCGCTGGTCCTCATACGCATGACGTCGATGCTCGGACCCGGTGCGGCACTCAAAGCCTATGAACATCATTAGAAAGGTATTCATGAGTGAGGTAAAAGAAAGGTGCACCGTTTATAAATGATCTGTCGGAAAACAAGTCTTGTTGGCGTACCTTACACTTTGGGCATGGCGCTTCTTTATGAGCGTGATCAGCAAAACCGCTGACCTTGCACATTGCGGGGTGATCGCAGATGACACCAAGGAGGAACACACGGACACGACGGCCTGTGGACATCAGAATGACTGACATCATACTTATAGGTGCGCTCACCATTAGGACTACTTGGTGTGTGATATACAACACCATCTTCATATAACTTAATGAGATCGTCAACTACAAGCTTCAGGTAGTGCTGAAGCTCCTCTCCCGTGGGCTCACGAGGACCTGGCGTCATGAACGACACAAGCAGGTTTTCCGCTCGATATCTGAAGGCTGTCATGTAGTTTGACACGCCAGAGGTTGAAACACTTACCTCAGCGCACGTGGCAGATTTGAGACGCAGAGCGACAGCACTCCAGATGAGTGGCTTGGGCCATAGACGCTAGTCTTGCGCCCAAACCTACAACACATTGAGTAGACAATAATAGATAAGTTAGATGGGACGCACCAGTCTATACTGATGGTCACACCAATCCGTAGCTCGCCTGAGTCATCCGTTTGCGAGAAGAACAGATCCTTCCCATTTGGCATCTTTGCCTCGTTCCAAACACGTCCATCACTAATGTCGTGCAGATGACCGGGTTTTGCATTGCGTGCCTTCCATGATTCACAATGCGCTTCGAGGCCGGGCTGAGCAAAGAAGTCGGCAAGGAGGGAAGATGGGAGCTGCAATGGTGCTGCGCAAAGAGGTGGAGTTGGTTTGGGTTGTTGTCCGGTAACAAGGCGGAAGATGGATCTGGATACTGGCCTGTATATCCGCTCATGACAACTGGGACAAACAGAGTTGACGGGACTTGACGCTGAGAAGATCCGGCGACAGTTTTGCACACACTGGATACGTCCCGAATCGATCTTCGAGATCGAGTTGCTTGATGGTGGTATTGAGCGTACGCGTGAGGGGGTTGATATCGTTGTCGATGAGCCCAAGTGCCATAAACACAATGTTAAAGGAATGAAGCATGAGGGCACAGGCACGAAAAGAGAGTCGGTGTCTAGCGTGGAGGAATGCAACAAGGAAGGTGACGAGGCAACCGTACCATGTATCGTGTGTGTTATTGTAAGCAATGTCCGTGGCTATTGGTGCCTCATAACGGTTCGGTGTCAAAAGCTCGAGTTCATGGGCCTGAGGTGCAGATGGCGGAAGTCGTATGGTAAGTGGTGCCTCTTCCTCATCAACTGTTTGAGTATGCAAAAGCGGGTCGTTATGAACGTCTTCTCCCCCATCGGACTCGTCATATAGGCCAAGCTCATCTGGCCCTCGAACGTGAGCTACCGGGACTTGGGTTGCGTCCAAATCATCCTCCGACTCCAACGGAGCGGCTCGGATTCGCGCTTTCCGCCGCATGCGTCTGGAGCGAGATGACGGTGCGGCTGCAGTCGCAGTTGCGGTTGTGAGTGCATGGGCCGAAGGTGATGAAGCGGGTGCAGAGGCCCGAGCTGAAGACGATGACGGAGGATTGGAAACACGGGTGGAAGACGAAGGAGGGAGTGCAGGAATGCGGTCCAAGGATGATGGCGCCAAGATAGGTATGCGGGCTGGGGAGAGCGCTGCATCTGAAGGAGGCTGGACGCCCACCTGTTGCTCTTGATGAGACGAGAACGTGTGTGAGAGGGAGGGAACTGTTGCTGAGGAGGTGGTCGATGAAGGAAAGGATGGTGACAGATAGACCTCGTCGCAGGAAGGTGGTGTGGTGGAGATGAGGGGGGATGGTCTGGTCTCGTATCCATGTAATCATCGTCATTGTCGTAATAGCTCGCAGGGAGGCTTGCAGGTGTTCTAACCAGAACTATAGTTAGTGCGAGCACACAAAGACATACGGAAGATAGGGGCAATGCTGCATCGGGGACAACCATCGTCGACGTCGTTCGGCTAATTTCCGCATCGTTGATGCGCTTTTAGCCGAGACGCGGTGCTCGTCGTTGCTCGCAGCGATCGGGTTGCCTCGGACCGTTATCCGATCGCCGCCGAAACGGCCGTTTTACAAAACCAGGGGTAAATGAGGAACTCACGAATGAGAGGGTGCTACAACTTGAGGTTGACTGGATGCCTGACCCGCAGACGGAGCAGAACTCCTCGGCCGCGTGACACTGGTGCTGGGCCTCGACGATGATGCTCGTCCACGCTGAGCAATGAGCGAGGGTGTATGCGTTGACCGGCGAGGAGCAGCTCGGCCGCGATTGTGGATAGACGAGGCCGACCTCAATGCCTCTTGCTGAACGTGGTAATCACGGGTACCTGGAGCGACGAGAAAACCTCGGCAGTCATCTCGAGCTTGCTGGCAAGACGAGCACGGGCACTCGACAGCGTTGCGGGTACGAGGATCCTGTGGCTAGGTAAGCGGATACGAGGGGCTACTGGTACGGTTGGCACGTACCCGAGACATGCCTGTGCGCACGTCGAAGCGAGAGGAAGGAGGGAGCAGGAGAGCGAGGACGTGGGTGGGTGGGAGAAGGACGTCGTCGAGGGAAGGGTGTCGTCGAGGGAAGAGGAAGAGAGGCGGGCGATGGAGAGCAAAGACATTTGCTAAGTCTATAAGTACATGGGGTGCTTGCTCGTTCGCCCTCGCGAGCTAAAGGAGGGCAGTCGAGGTCAAGTAGGAGTCATGAGAACACTTACCTAGTTCACTCTCTGTAGATCGCCTCGGACACTCACGGCTGAGATCGTCTAGTGAGCAAAAGGTAGCTGGTCTATTGCAAAGCGGGAACGGCTCCGTGTACATGCGGGAGGTCGACTAAACATACAACGTGAGGAGACGAGCTCGCGTTCGGTAGCCGGAACGAACCCGAATCGAGGAGCTTCGCCTACATGAAGCCTTCGATCAGGTCCGGCTAACCGAGGCAAGCCGCGGCTAGCCCAGCTTGGTTTCTCACGGCTCATCGAGCCCTAAACGCAGTGGATCAGGTAGCGCTCCAATGGCGGTTACATCCGTAATGCCTCCTTTGACCTCAGCACGTGCTATATCCGCTAAAGCCTTCGACAGGAGTGGACCAGGTTCAGATTCGATGTCTTCCCTCAGCTCAAAGCAGTCGCGAAGGTTGCAAGCCATTTCAGGTGAACAGCCCGAAATCTCAAGAAACGCATGTCGGCGAAGGGCAGGACTAGGTGAATGTGACAAAGGACTGACGCGAGTATAGCTAGGATGTCTATGAAAGCGCAGACTCACCGGGCAGTTAGTATTGAAGGTTGAGTAGTAGCGGGTTAGGCTGATAGCTGACGATGGTAGTCGTTCGGTGGAGAGAGAAGACTTAGATGATATTCATGGTAGCGACTGTATATATATGACAGGAGCGTGTGAAGTCACTACCGTATTCGTAACTACTGTGCAGTCCAAGTCCCGCGGTAATGCAGGACGGCTACGTAAG